AGCAGCAAGAGCAGCAGCAGCAACAACTGAGCCGCAGCAGCAGCAGCAGCAACTGAAGTGCAGCAGCAGGAAGCGCAGGAGCAGCAAGAGCAGCAGCAGCAGCAACTGAGCCGCAGCAGCAGCAGCAGCAGCAACTGCGGGTGTGAGCCGCACGCTTCTAGGACGGCGAGGAGTGCGTGTTGCTGCTGAGGGTCCATTTGGTGGAGGAGGGCCTGGACGTAGGCTGCTGCGGGCTGCTGCTGCTGCTGCTGCTGCTGCTGCTGGTGGGGCAGCAGCAGCAGCGCAGCAGCAGCAGCGTCTTCGCCGGCGTCGAGCAGCAGCTGGTCGAGCAGCGCAGCAAAGTCGAGCTGCGGGCGCTTGGGGCCCGGGCCGTCTGCGTCTGCTGCAGCAGCAAGTTCCGCGTCCTGCAGCAGCTGGCGGCGCTGCTGCAGCAGCTTTTGCTGCTGCTTCTGCCGCCGCTTCCGCAGCAAATAAGCAGCCCACTTGCTTTGAGTTGCTTCCAAAGCATCAAGTTTTTCATGATCGAAAAACTGAAAGTCATAACCTCCATTTATCTCAGCTCGCCAGCCAGTCAGCAGCCTGCGGGCCAGCCGCCGCTCCCGCCGCAGCAGCAGGGCCCCCGGGGGCCCCCGGGGGCCCCCGGGGGCCCCCGGGGGGCCCCCCCGCCACTTCGTCTTGCGGTCCCCCAAGTCCAACACCACGAAAGGCCTGAAGGCCTTCGCCCCCTTCTTTCGCCCCGGACGCCCGGGGGGCCCCCGGGGGCCCCCCTCGCCGCCGTACATGTGGAGGCCCCCGTCGAGGGAAATGTTGGACAAGTCGAACTTCGACTCCAGGCTGAGTGCAAGAGAAAGGACTTCACTGACACGCGTGGCCAGACTCAAACCCTCAAACAGCGGATAAAAACCTCAAACCCTCAAACAGCGGATAAAAGCCTCAGAAAAGGACTTCACTGACACGCTTGGCGAGACTCAAACCCTCAAACAGCGGATAAAAGCCTCAAACACTCCCAAACACTCCACAAACACTCCAAAAATATCCAAAAACACTCCAAAAACACTCAAAAAGAATCCAAAAACCCGCGAAAAACACTCCAAAAGAATCCAAAAACCCAATCAAATCCAAAAACCCTCGAAAAACACTCAAAAAGAATCCGAAAACCCTCGAAAAACACTCCAAAAGAATCCAAAAACCCGCGAAAAACACTCCAAAGAATCCAAAACCCTCCAAAAACCCTCGAAAAGCACTCCAAAACCCTCCAACAAAACCCGAAAATGTTCCAAAACCCTCCAAAACCCTCGAAAAACTCCAAAAACCCTCGAAAACCCTCAAAAGGCACTCAAAAGCCGTCGAAAAACCCTCGAAAAACATTCCAAAACCCTCGGAAACCCTCCGAAAGCCCTCCAAAGCCCTCGAAACGCATTCCAAAACCCTCGAAAACCCTCAAGAAACACTTCAAAACCCTTGAAAAATACTCTAAAAACCCTCGCGAAACCCTCGGAAAACCCTCGAAAAAGCCTCCAAAACCCTCGAAAAGCATTCCAAAACCCTCGCAAAACACTCCGAAAACCCTCGGAAAACACTCCAAAAACCCTCGAAAAACCCTCACGAAACCCTCGGAAAACCCTCACAAAACCCTCGAAAAACCCTCGGAGAGGTTAAAAGGGATGGAAGGAACGTTAAACCCTCCAAAACCTCCCAAAACCCTCGAAAGGTACTCCAAAAACCCTCGGAAAACCCTCGGAAAACCCTCGAAAACCCCCTCGCCAAACCCTCGCAAAAGCCCCTCTAAACCCCTGGCAAAACCCTCGAAAAATCCTCGCAAAGTCCCTCTCAAAACCCTCTCAAAACCCTCGCAAAGCTCTTTTAAAACCCTCTCAAAACCCTCGCAAAGCTCTTTTAAAACCCTCTCAAAACCCTCGCAAAGCTCTTTTAAAACCCTCTTAAAACCCTTTCAAAACCCTCTCAAAGCCCTTTTAAAACCCTCTCAAACCCCCCAAAACAACCCTCTCAAAGCCCTCCAACCCCCCCCCCAAAAACCTCCTAAACCCTCCCCAAACCTCCTCAGAACCCTCCCCAACCCCCCAAACCCTCGTAAACCCTCTAAACCCTCGTAAACCCTCGTAAACCCTCTAAACCCTCCTAAACCCTCCTAAACCCTCGTAAACCCTTCAAAGCCTCTACACCCTCGTACACCCCCGGACTTGCCTCAAACCCTCGTAAACCCTCCAAACCCTCGTAAGCCCCCGGACTCGCCCCAAACCCTCGTAAACCCTCTAAACCCTCGTAAACCCTCTAAACCCTCGTAAACCCCCGGACTTGCCCCAAACCCTCGTAAACCCTCTAAACCCTCGCAAACCCTCGTTTACCCCCGGACTTGCCCCAAACCCTCGCAAACCCTCGTAAACCCTCTAAACCCTCTAAACCCTCTAAACCCTCGCAAACCCTCTAAACCCTCTAAACCCTCGCAAACCCCCGACTCGTGAGGCGGACCTTTGGAGTTGGGCTTCGATTTCAGCAGTTCTTTGTTCTGCATCCGCCAAAATGATGTCAATGTCTGCTTCTGTGATGCTGCTTTCCTCTTGAGTTCTGTAAACCTCCTGAGCCCCGAACTGGAGAATGTCTTGGAGTTCGGAGGCCTGGGGCCCCTGCTGCTGCCGCTGCTGCTGCTGCTGCTGCTGCTGCGCCCCCAAGCGCCCCTTCTGAATCACCAGCGAGTCCAGCTTGAGTTTCTTTGCTGCGCGCTCCACGATGCGCTCCTCCACAGTCCCGCCAGTCACGAAGCGGTACACCACCACCTGAAACCACAAATTAGGGTTTAGGGTTTAGCGGTTCGCACTTAGCCGCTGCGCTTAGCTTCTGGCCTCTGAGTACAAATGCAAGCTCCACCGCCCGCTCCTCCACCAAAACCCCAACCCCAACCCCCCACCCCAAACCCCAAACCCTAAACCCTAAACCCTAAACCCCAAACCCCAACCCCAAACCCCAAACCCTAAACCCTAAACCCTAGGCACCTTCTTTTTTTGGCCGATTCTGTGGGCCCTGTCCATGGCCTGGAGGTCCATTTGGGGGTTGAAGTCGGAGTCGAAAAGAATCACAATGTCTGCTGTTGCCAAATTAATTCCCAAACCCCCCGCGCGAGTTGACAACAAAAACACAAACTTGTCGCTGTCTTCTCGGTTGAAGTCGTCGATCTTCAGCTGCCGCTCCTCCCCCGGAGTCGACCCGTCTATGCGGCAGTACGAGTGGCCCCGCCACCTGCAGCAGCAGCAGCAGCAGCAGCAGCAGCAGCAGCAGCAGCAGTGGCGGTGGAGGTGGGGGACGGGGTGGGAGCGGGGGAGGGGAGAAGCAGATGGTGCTCGCTAGGTCGTCTCTGACGTGAATCCACACGGCTAGCTGCGCAGCTAGCTAGCTGGCTAGCTAGCTGGCTAGCTAGCTGGCTAGCTAGCTGGCTAGCTAGCTGGCTAGCTACACAGCTGGTTGGCTAGTTGGGGAGCTAGCAGGCTAGCTGCTCTACTAGCTAGCTAGCTCTGGGGATGCAACCTCGCTACTTGGCAGGAACTCTCGAGAGAGAGCTTAGGCGCTCACCCAGCAGCTTGCTGTTTAGCTAGCTAGCTAGCTAGCTAGCTAGCTAGCTGCCTGGCCCACTGCCTCGCTAGCTAGCTACCTACCTACCTAGGCAGCAAGTAAGGCAGCTAGCTGCTTGGCTACCGGCCTGTTTGGCTAGCTAGCTACGTGGCTAGCTGCTCGGCCAGCTGGCAGCTTGCCAGCAGCTGTTTGGCTAGCTGGCAGCTAGCTAGCTAGCTAGCTAGCTGCTTGGCTACCTGCAGTAATCGTCAACAATGTCCAGCAGTCTCGTCATTTGGCTAAACAGCAGAACTCTGCTGCCCTCCGCCTTCAGACGCGGCAGCAGCCGGTCCAACAGGTGCATTTTGCCTGCAGCAGCAGCAGCAGCAGCAGCAGCAGCAACAGCAGCAGCAGCAACAGCAGCAGCAGCAGCAGCAGCGAGAGGACACGGCAAATTTCTGGACCAGCGGTCAGGGTTTAGGGTTTATGTGCCTGCAGCCTCGACAACGTCGCAGTCTTCTGCATAGGAAGTCTAGACTATTGATAGGGTTTAGGGTTTAGGGTTTAGCTGCATGCAGCCTCGATGAGGTGGTAGCCTTCTACATAGAAAGTCTCCTCTAGGACTTGCTTTTGGGCTTAGGGTTTAGGGTTTAGGGTTTAGGGTTTAGGGTTTAGGTGCCTGCAGCTTCCACGAGGTGGTAGCCCTCCACGTAGGGGGGCCCCGGCTCCACGCCGTCGAAGAGGTAGGGGTGCTCTGTGCCTAGGGCCTGGCTGCGGGGTTCGCTAGGGTTTAGGGTTTAGGGTTTAGGGTTTAGGGTTTAG